CCGAATGACTGCGTTTCCTTCGAGGAAATCCAAGAGATGGTCCCTTAGTATGCTCTCCATGATCTTTCCTGGGATACTCGTGAGACATACCGGCCAGTAATTTCCTGGATTACTCTTTTCGCGCCTTCCTTTCTTTTCGCGAGGACGAGCGAGTGGATCGGTAGCTGGTTGGCAGGAAGAGAGCAACGGGTGATGATAAAATGGGGAAGCGTCGGAGGAGGTCGGACGAGCAAGCGGTGTCCCCCAATGCTCGGTCCTCGGTCCGCTTCTGTTCTTGGTCTACATAAACGATTTGGATCTCGGCGTAGAGGGTAAGATAAGTGAATTTGCCGACGACACCAATGTAGGTTTATGCGCATGTGCGGCGCCTTCTGCCTACCTGGGCTTACGTCCCGTTTACGTCCTCCCTCTCTCCCTCTCGCTCTTTTCCCGGTCGTTGCTACTGTCGCATCTACTCTCGAGAACGTAATAGCCGGAGGGGTGGTAGTGGAAGAGTTCGGATGCCAGAAGAGGGCTAAAAAACACACAAAATGGAACGGCGGGAAATCGAACCCTTGACCTCTTGATTAAAGATCAAGCGCGTTACCAGCATACAACGGAACCCAAGTCTTTGAATATTCCTTTCCTTGTTATCCTTAACACTACAACAGGAGAGAGAGAGGCATTCTACGCACCCTCCTCCTCCTCCTCCCCCCCCCCTACTAATGGGGATGTTCACATCTCCGATATGGACTTTTCCGCAGGGACGTTCGTTCGTTCGTTCGTTCTGCAGTCCCTAAAATCATTCATTACTTTATATCATCATTTAAAAATTTTTTTTCCAAAACACTCCGCGGGCCACACAAAAACTCTTGCAGGGCCGCACTTTGGGCACCCCTGGTCTAGCCCATTCAGTCCTGCAGTCCGCGTTCGTCATCGAAAACCTGCTACAGCATCGCTTGCATGAATCTAGCCGAGAGCCTCTCTGATGCAGCCGAGTGTCTCTCTGATGCACCCGAGGGTCTCTCTGATGCACCCGAGGACCTTCTAGATGCAGGAGTGGAACAGCCAAGGAGGCAAGACTCATTCGCCCCGTACCCTCCTCCAAATGCCGAACCATCCACGTGCTCACGAATGATTAAAAGTTTAAAGAGTCCTCAGAAGAATAATATAAACGGAATTAAGAATCGGAATTTGCGTTATGATGGTCTTCCGGATCCACTGCAGAACTTCACGGTTTTGTTCTCTTTGGCAAAGATACCGCGAGGGGCTTCATTTTTTGGCTTTTCCAAAATTGGAGGTCACTTCCGGTTCACCTGATTTCACAAATTTTTCTTGCTTACGTGCATGTAGCAGAATGAGCAGAATGAGCAAAGCAGAATGGAGCCTTTCCTTGTCATTCTGCTGTTACGTGCAACGTGTCGATAATCCACGGAACTCTTTTCTTAGGGGTGCCGCGGTGGACCACGATCGCGTTAACCTGGTAATATTAATTAAATACTTTCCATCGACTTGTAGTTCGCGAACACACCTGTCGCGTTTGATTCCAGAGATGCCTCGATGGATTGGTGAATAAGTCTATTAATGCCATTAATGAAATTGCACAACTAATGTGTACCTAGGTATGCATAGACGGTTGTTGCAGCTCGACATTGTGCTTCCACATACCCCTCCTTTCAATGATACGCAACTATTCGTCTTCAAGATCATCAACTCCTCCAGAACCGACGTTAAAAGACCGAATGCCGCAGACAATGCATGTTTTATTGAGTCGAATGGCGGAATTCATTCAGAGAAATAGGAGACGGCCGACGGAGAGAAAAGGGAGGAGGACGAGAAAGGAGACGCGAGCGGAGAGCAGGATCGAGATGGCGCCGTTGCACAGGTCCGTCTTGCAGAAGCACGCCTTCCAGCCGGCAGGAGCCCCGGGAACATCATCTGAGTCCACGCATTCTTCCTTTTTATAGGGGTTGCAATTGGCTGCCTGTTGGTCACCTGTGGATTGAAGGATTTCCTGCATCAATGGAGGGAAAGGTTTTTCAAGCTAATCCCTGCTGCAGGGATGGTTGCTCTCACGCATTCTTCCTTTTTATAGGGGTTGCAATTGGCTGCCTGTTGGTCACCTGTTGATTGAAGGATTTCCTGCATCAATGGAGGGAAAGGTTTTTCAAGCTAATCCCTGCTGCAGGGATGGTTGCTCGACTCGTTCATCGTGAGACTTTCCGCCTCGCTCGATTCTTCGTTGAAGCAGGATTATCAAGTGAATGAAGTTGAAGCAAACTGCTTTGATTAGAAGCAAATGGAAGTGATTTCATAATTCAGGATTATTTCTATACAGGATGAGACAGAACCTTTTTCTCCCCCCCCCCCCTCTCGCCAACCCGGAGTATTTTAGTTATTAACTTATGTTGGGTAAAATCTGAAAGCCTACTTCAATTAGAATTGTTTCTGATCATTTTCAGATAAATATATCGAAACTGCTGGTACTTACGACATTGAAAAGCAGTGATCACATTTCGTGAGGCTCAAGCTACCTCTGACTTACTCCAGAGAAACCTTACTCAAGTGCTCCAAGGCAGAGATAACTGAACAGATTTTTTTTTTTCAAAAACTAATTGAATGTGACTTTCATCGCCTGTAGGCTGTTCGTCTTGCCGGTGGTTATATATCATGGAATACATTGTTGACTTGGTTTTTTCCGGGTCTCTTTCGTGTTGCAGCGCAGGGAGGGAGGAAAAGGTTCCCAGTACGCCCGGTGCCGCATATTCCAACGGTAAATTTATGTGGATTCCCACGAAGCCAAATGGAAGACGTTCAGGCTGAATACAATTCGTTCACCGGTGTGGCAAAGAGTTGAACGCAGCCGATTTTGAAATATTGCATGGCCCAGTAAAAAAAAAAAAGGGCGTAGACGAAATACTCTTTGCAAAAAAAAATATATTCGTCACTTACCATTCCCATCCCAGAAACTTCCACAGTACAATTCAAGTCCTGTTCATGCGTCGCCCGTGCAATCCACTTGCTTCCAATCGTTCTTGTCCCCCTCGCACTTTCCGATCTCGGGGTCAAGATCGCACTCGTAGCATCGCAAGGCACTCCCATACCCTGCAAGGAGCAGGAAAACTTGCCAATCTTGCGAAAAAGGCATGCATAACGGGAACATCAAACGTTGATCAATAATGGGAGTCTACCTGCCGACGAGGCAGAGAAATATGAAGAACTTCATGGTGATGAATCTGCAACGAGAAGGTTCCTAGATTTGGATCAAGACTCACACCTGAAAATGACAATTTTTTGGCCCTATCAACTCGCGAAGCAAAAACTGCTTTGAATTTTCGCTATCGGAGTACGCGCATCCATCTGGCACAAATTCCAAGGGAAATCACTAATGGAGAATTTTTGAAAAAGTGAGAGACGTACCTGCTCGCTAGACCCGGAGAGACGAGAATCGGCACACCTGGGTCCGGTCGGACATATATTAATGCGCAGCATATCAGCGGAAATATGACGTCCTCTTGAGATAAAGAACGTTCAGAGTTGACAAAAGCTCAGTTGAGTCGTGCTTTTCGCAGAGCATTTATTTCTGAGCTCTGTTGAAGCTTTCATAGCGGGACGTGTAACTTCGGACACGGAGAAAAAATATTTCTGGTATTTCTTCGCGCACCTAAGCGTGCGGCGTGCCTTCAAGGAAGCGGGAGGAGGCGGGAATGCAGGGGATGATCGATCCGAGGGCGTTTTGAAGGGCAATAAGGGCATAACTCGGGTGAGACGTGATGAACGCGTCTGCTGGAAACATTTTCTTCTAGGAGTTGTACCTCCAAATTCGGAGTCGGGGATGTGTCCCTGAAGTTGGCTGTTTCCAACATGTTAAGCATGTTGCATGTTAAGCATGCAGAGAAATACTTGTCTACCGAATATAACAAACTGAGTCAGTCCGTTCTGGTTAAGAATAATTTTCGACAACGATACCCTAATTAATTATGTTCATCCAAGGGATTATCCTCAAGAGCAGATTTTTCCAGAAATTAGCGAACGGAGAGCAATCTACTTACGAAATTCCAGGTTTCTATATCCTTTACCGCCGGTTTCAACGTAGCAAAACGTATTTAACAAATTTGGCTCCCCCTAAATGTGCCCCAAGAATATTTCTCCCAGAAGCAGAATTGCCCCTTATGCTGAATACTCCCTCGACTCAATAATATCGTGTCACTTATACGTGTGCCGAGTTTCACCTTTCCATTTCTGCCCAATTCGCCACGTCAACTTTTTTTTTAAACATCGCCCTGCGAAAAAATTCCTCCACGGTGATGTGTCGATACTTGACATTTTTCATGAACTCCTTGTCTCAGTAGTGACATTCCTGCAAAGTTTCAGCTTTCCATGTTCATTAGTTTAACTGATGCAAAACAATTATTTGAAAACATCTCCCTTTGAAATTTGTGCCCCGGGGCATTTACTTCCAAAGTCTGACATTTTCTGCACGCAGCACGAAAGGTTGAATGTTCATTAAATATTCAAAAGTAATTTTAAAAAAATACTTTATAAG